TGAATCACAGACCCCGGGGGTCAGGATTTCCTGACGTCCTGCTCAGGAGGGCCGCCTAATCGCGGGGCCTCGACCTCACCCCTCCTGACGTCAGCCTCCGAAGAATGGGTTTCCTTTTCCGTCTGGGAAGATACTCTATCTGTTGTCGGGCCTATCGGCCCTGGCAGTGGCCCTCTGGCATCTCCTGTTCCGGAAGGGATGGTCGGAGGGCAGGAGGAGGGCTTCCGAGCGCCTTCCCCCCCGGGGCCTCAGGTGGAGCAGCTGGGCTGTGCACCTGTCCTGCCTTATCTCCAGGGAGGGTCTTATCGCTTCTTCTTGGTCTTAGACGAGACCTCCCAAGGTACAAGAATGTGTCTGTCCCGTGAGGAGTCCAAGGCTTAGCCAATCTCCCAGAAACCATCACTTCAGGCACCCGTAACTTAGGTGTGGCGCCCTCTGGCCCTGTCGGCCTCAAAGCAGCTATGAAGGCCCGAGGCTGAGCGCGCTTCCCAGCTGCTCATCCTTAGCGTAAACACTGGTTGAACTCACTACGCCAGCTATCGGCCTTGCCATCTGCCGCTGCAGTGGATTCGGTCGGAAATTCCCAGGGAGTTATCTCCCCACTCCACCCCGGCTGCTGAGCCCTGTGTGAACAGGAGGCCTTGAATTCTTGGCAGGGTGTCCCCCAAGCCCGCGTGGGGCTCCCTACGGGTGCGGGGGTACAGCACACTCACGCTGCAGCCACCACAGGACGGGCTCTGCGCGAAAGTGGAGCCATGCCACGGATGGCCTCATTCTAGTTACTGGAAGTTGGGAATTTTGTTGACACCAGCATTTCAAACACGGAAGGGTTGAATCAAATTCCAGCTAGTATTTGTAAAACTATCCAAGCTTACAAAGAAACTTAAATCAGTCGAAAGTATTCATTGTGGTAAACAACTTGGAGATTCTTAACACCAAAAACCATGAGCGTTTTGATGTGTTTGCTTGCTCCCTCTGTCTTCCTCGTCCTTTTCATAAAATGACATCATCTCTTTACTATTCTTTGGCGAGTAAAAAAAAGATTTATTTATTTATTTGAAAGGCAGAGTTACAGTGAAAAAGAGATTTTCCATGTGCTGGTTCACTCCCCAGATGGCTGAAAAGGGGCAAGGAGCTGCGTCCAGGTCCACCGCAGGGTGCAGTGCCCAGCGCTCGGCCAGCCGCTGCTGGCTTTCCCAGGTGCGTTATCAGAGTCGGACTGGAAATGGAGCCACTGGGCTTTAACTAGCGCTGGCATATGGTAGTTTTACTTGCCAGGCCGCAGCACCAATCCCTCTTGATTAATTAATAATAATAATATAAAAGAAACAATTTATGAATGTATTTGAAAGGTTGAATTGGGGAGGGAGAGAGAGAGAGAGAACTCTGTCAATTGGCTCACTTTCCAAATATCTGTGACGGCTAGGGTGGGGCAGGCTGCTGGTAGAGCCCATGTGGGTGACAGGACCCCAGCACCTGGGCCGCCTTCCTTCCGGTGCCGGATAGGAAGCTGAGCAGCGGGGCCTTGAGCTGGCAGAGCTCCTCCACGGGATGCTGGTGTCATAAATGACCCTCACAGTGCCAGCTCCCGCTGACTTTCGTTTGTTACATTTCCTCCTCGGATGAGATCCTGAGGTGCCGTTGTTGGCTGGCACAGCTGCGCCACGGCCGACTGCTTCCACTCTGCCGAGTCCCTGAGCGACGTTGCAGTGGGTGACTCACTTCCTTGGGTTCCTTCGGGACAGCAGGATTTGGAGTGAGGCCGTGTTTGGCGTGACCGTGGGGTGTATAGGCTGTGACCTGCCCCGTGGTAGTTCTGATTCTTACCTTTCAGTGACATGAGCCAGTCAAGGAGCCCCACGTTCCAGGTGGGAGCCTGCACCCCAGTGCCTCCCAGAGTCTGGCAAGGTGTTGCTCCCCCACCGTTAGAAAGGTTGATTTGGGGGTTGGTGCCGTTGCACAGCCTGTGGTGCTGCCATTGCATTCGGTGTGGGTTCCAGTCCTGACTACTCCACTGCTAATCCAGCTCCTTGCTAACACCCTGGGAGAACAGCGGAGGATGGCCCGAGTGCTTGGGCCCCTGCACCCACGTGGGGACCCACATGGGGATCTTGACTCGTTGGATCAGCCTAACTCTTGTGGCCACTTCTGTCTCTGTAATTCCGCCTTTAAAAAAGGCCAGTGGCAGCGGACGGGGCAGCGAACTCACGCACTTGAGGCATGGGGCTGTGGATTGCCCAGGGAAGGGTGTTTGGGGCTGTGTAGCAGGGAGGGCTGCCGAAGGGGTGTGCTACAGATGAGGAAGAACTTGGGGGGGACTTCCACCGGCCAGGCCACTGCGATTACAAGTAAACAAGGGGCTGAGACTGGGAGGTTTGGAGGAGAGACACCAGAGACTTGAACTTGGCTAGTTGGCATCAACCACAGCCCACTGGCACACAGGAAAGCCATGAGTGGGGGCCTACCTGGCAGGGCTAGTCCAAAGTACCCACTGTTGCGTGTCGGGGAGGGGGAAGGGCCATGCTAAGTTGGGCCATGCCAGTAACTGGCACTTGAGAGAACCGGGTCTGTGGGCAGATTCTGCGGGGGCGTTTGTGGACTCATCGCTGTGGGCTTGGAACACCCATTGGTATGCCTAAAGGTTGGTGGTGAAGGCCGAGCTAGGCACGACCATGGAACTCCAAGACCCTCATGGGACCTGGGGTGCAGAATGGAGTGGGTTGGCTCACGCTGCAGCACCTGCAGGTACACTCAAGGATTGTGTGTGGGCGATGGGACGGGCCAGACATCCGTCAGCACCCACAGTGGCTGAGATTGGGGGGCAGACTGTGCCAGAGAGGAGCCTAGCACTTGCTGGACCACAAGGGATCTGGGTCTGGGGTTGGGTCTGGTGGAACTTGGGGGAACTCCCCTGCGGGCTGTAGCTCCTGCTGGTGAACACGCGAGTCAGGGCTGGGGGCGGGACAGGCTGGACAAGGTGGCACGTGCAGGACATCATTGCCCAGTCTCTGCCCGCTCCTGGGCATGACCTAGAGCTTGTCTGCCCTGGCCTGGGATTTCCAACTCTGTATGTAGAATGTGCTCTCTGATACGATTGGGTTATGTATGCCTTTTATCTGACCACAGTGTCAGCACTGGGGAAAGGGGCTATCTGAACACGTCCTCTTACCCTCCCTTCTTAGTCCTTGAAAAACCTGGAACTTGGGCTGAATCAATGGACATTCCTCAGCAGCTTGTCTCTGGTGTTTCTTGTGGTTGAAGGATACTGTTTGCTAAACCCTGAGATACACATTCATGCAGTACGGTGGGATGAGCTGCAGCACCCATAGGTGTATGCAAGAGTCCGACTGGGATGTGGTACGGGCCAGACTAGTCTGCTGTGCATACCTGCATGCATGGAGACCAGGCACGGGCTTGGGCCTGGTGGGATTCCCGGGTTCTTGGTGTGTGTAAGAGCCAGGTCTGTGGCAGGCTGGATTGGGCTGGGTTGCAGCACCTGTCCATTTGCATAGGACATGGGGCTGGGGATTGAACTGACCAGGCAACCACAATTACCAGTGTGTGCATAGAGCAGTGTGGGTGACAGACTGACCCAGACCCTGCACTGGCTGGCACACGCAGGTGAGTCAGGTCTGGGGTCATCCAGGGTGAGGTTTCTTGGGGAAGGACCTTCCCTACTGGACCACTGGACTCAAACCCCGGCCCGGGAAAGATCACAGGATTTGTGAGCCGATCTTGGAATGCATGTATTAGGACTGGGCCTCTGATGAATGACGCTGTGGATGGCGCGTCCAGCTGCACAGGGGACAAGGCCAGCTCACTTAAGCCCGCAGAGGACACTGATTGCCATGTGAGAAAACGGAGCACAGAATGGGTTGGGCAACTCCCCAGCCTGAGCCCTGGCCCCATGCGTCGGGTGAGGGCTGGGCCAGGTCAGACTCCACCTGGGTGTTCCCTGTAGGCTCAGCGGGACAAAAGACTTGGTCCATCCTCTGCTGCCTTCCAGCAGGGGGCTGGATCAGAAGAGGAATGGCTGGGACTTGAACGACCACTCACATGGGAAGCTGGCACTGTAGGCAGAGGCTTAACTCATGGTGCCACAATGCCAGCTCTGGCTCCTCCCCTCCTTTTTTTTTTTAAGAAAGAATTATTTATTTATTTTAAAGATTTTTATTGGAAAGTTAGATATACAGAGAGAAGGAGAGAGAGAAACAGAGAGGAAGATCTTCCGTCTGATGGTTCACTCCCCAAGTGGCCACAACGGCTGGAGCTAAGCTGATTTGAAGCCAGGCTCCAGGAACCTCTTCTGGGTCTCCCACATGGGTGCAGGGTCCTAAGGCTCTCCCAGGCCATAAGCAGGGAGCTGGATGGGATGAGAACCATGTCCACACGGGATCCCGGAGCGTGCAAGGCGAGGACTTAGCTGTTATGCCACCGCACCAGGCCCAATCCCACCTATTTTGACCCCCTGGCCAAGCTAGCCGATGACGGATGGCCGCGGCTTCCTGCACTTGCTCAAGACACAGGCTGTCTGGGCCGCCTGGGACATCTGTGCACATCTCCGCAGGTCTGATGGCTGGGCAGCACCCGCCACGGCTGCACGTGCCCACTGCCAGCGCGGGAGCCGGGGTGCGCGGCGAGGGCCGGGGTGCGCGGCGAGGGTCGGGGGTCGGGGTGCGCGAGGGCCGGGGGTCGGGGGTCGGGGTGCGCGGCGAGGGTCGGGGGTCGGGGTGCGCGGCGGGGGCCGGGGTGCGCGAGGGTCGGGGGTCGGGGTGCGCGGCGGGGGCCGGGGTCGGGGTGCGCGAGGGCCGGGGGTCGGGGGTCGGGGTGCGCGGCGAGGGTCGGGGGTCGGGGTGCGCGGCGAGGGTCGGGGTCGGGGTGCGCGGCGAGGGTCGGGGGCCGGGGTGCGCGGCGAGGGTCGGGGTTCCGGCCGCCTGGCCCTCCCGCGCCTGCGCACTGCCGCCTCGTCCGCGCTCGCCACGGTCGCGCGCGCCGGAAACGGAAGCGGCGAGTCTCCATGGCGGCCGCGACGGCGGGCCCGGTGCTGTGGAGGCGGCTGCTGGGCCTCCTGCCTGGGCGCCCTGGGCTGACCGCGCTCCTCGGGCGCCTGTCCGACCGCCTCAGCAGGAGCCGGGACCGGCGGCGCAGGAGGTGAGAGCGGCGGTGGGCCCTGCCCTCCCGGCGCCCCTGGGTCCTCGTGTCCGCGACACCCCTCACCTTGCGCCCGGGCGCCCGGCTTCCCGAGAGGAGCGGGGAGGGCGGGCGACATGTGTCCGGTCGTCGGCCGCGTCCAGTCGGGGCCTCCTGCGCGCTCGGGGCGGCCCTTCGCCTCTCCCTGTGCGCGCGCGGAGCTGGCCGGTGTCCCCCGACCCCCGTGTCCGGCCCCGGCCGTGGGGAAGGGCGCCTGGCTGGACCCCCGCGGGCTCCGTGCGCCCCCGTGTCCGGCCCCGGCCGTGGGGAAGGGCGCCCGGCTGGACCCCCGCGGGCTCCGTGCGCCCCCGTGTCCGGCCCCGGCCGTGGGGAAGGGCGCCCTGCTGGACCCCCGCGGGCTCCGTGCGCCCCCGTGTCCGGCCCCGGCCGTGGGGAAGGACGCCCTGCTGGACCCCCGCGGGCTCCGTGCGCCCCCGGCCGTGGGGAAGGGCGCCCGGCTGGACCCCCGTGGGCTCCGTGCGCCCCCGTGTCCGGCCCCGGCCGTGGGGAAGGGCGCCCGGCTGGACCCCCGCGGGCTCCGTGCGCCCCCGTGTCCGGCCCCGGCCGTGGGGAAGGGCGCCCGGCTGGACCCCCGAGGGCTCCGTGCGCCCCCGGCCGTGGGGAAGGGCGCCCGGCTGGACCCCCGCGGGCTCCGTGCGCCCCCGTGTCGGTGTGGACCTGGGAGGTGCGGGCTGGCCCGGTGTGTACACAGCGTTGAGACCTTTCACATCCTGCTCCACCTGGCTGTGGAGCAATCCTGAGTCAGTGGCACTCAGGCATGGAGGAGGAACCACTCCAAACTAATTTTTTTTTAAAAATACATTTCAGAGAACTTGAGTTCTGGAAAAGTAATCCAGTGGGTTGTGCAACTGGGCAAGAACAGGCTTGGAATGGAGTCTGTTGGGGCGGGGGTCCCCAAACACTGCTGCTGACTTGAGGGGCTGGCAGGGCGGCAGTGTTCTGTTTATAAGGGAAGGGTTGTGATCTTCTGGGACAGTGACAGTGAGAATGGGGGCAGTTCTGAGAAGGTGCTGGAGGGGTGGTCGCTGCGTGCAGGTGCCCTGGTTGATGCATGGCGCTCCTGGTTATGTGGCTCTCGCTGCATGGCATTGGGTGGCGTTGGCTCTGAGACCAGCCTGGGCCCGTCTGCTGTGGGGTGGGGGTGGTGCTTGCAGGAGTCACCCAGGGCCCAGGGCTTTTGGGGCTAGGGACAAGCCACTACCGTCCGAGCTCTTGGAGGGCGAGTGAGTGGACAGGGCCATTTCTGCCCGCTTCCCAGCGGGCCCAGCCTGGCCTTATCACTGGTTAGGCAAAGGGACAGCTTCAGGACCTTTTCTTGTTAGATTTGAGCTTTTAAAACAAGTCTTAAAGGGGTGAATGTTGTGGTACAGTGGGCTGCGACTCCCACATCCCAGGGCCAGTTGGAGCCCTACTTCCCATCCAGCTACCTGCTGATGTGCCTGGGAAGTAGCCCCTGCACCCACGTGGGGGCTGATGCAGTTCTGGGCTGCTGGGTATTGTGTCCATTTGGGGACTGAACCAGAGGATGGAAGATCTGCCTCCCGCTGTCACTCTGCGCCTCAACAAACAGATTGTTGCAAGAACTCTTGAGCTGCTTGTCCCGGCTAATTTCCCCAGGTTTTAGTGTGAGGTCTGGGTTCAGTCTTGTCTGGAGAGGTGCCCGTTCCTGCCGGCTGGCGGTGGAGACTTCTGACCGTCCTCGCCAGGCTTCTCATCCTGACAGGACAGACGTGAAAGCTGCGTCATCAAGGCTGGTGGCCGTGGCGTGGGCAGGAGGCGGGTCCAGCAAGGCTGGTGGCCGTGACGTGGGCAGCAGGCGGGTCCAGTGAGGCTGATGGCTGTGGCGTGGGCAGGAGGCAGGGACCATTGAGGCTGGTGGCCGTGGCATGGGCAGGAGGCGGGTCCAGTGAGGCTGATGGCTGTGGCGTGGGCAGGAGGCGGGTCCAGCGATGCTGGTGGCCGTGGCGTGGGCAGCAGGCAACCTGGCCTGGCCTTTGCCCATAGTTGGAGCCCCCAGGAGGAGGACGCCAGCACAGGGATTCCACGTCGAGCAGTAGACCAGGGAGAGGTTTGCTTAAAGTCTCACAGAATGTTCTGTCACTGAAGACAAGGTGTTCAGGTGAATTTGTGATTTCCTCTCTGTGTTTAAAGTGAGAAAGACTCCATTATGAACGCATGTTTAGCATCTGGTTGATTACTGATTTGGGGGCAGTCCCCACGAAAGGGGTATCCCTTGAGTGTGTGTGTGTGTTTTACATTAAAGGTTGATTGGTTTGAAAGGCAGAATGACAGGGAGGAAGAGAGACCAAGAGTTCCTCTCTGCTGGTTCATTTCCCAAGTGATTGCAGACACCTGGGCTGGGCCAGGCGGAAGCCTGGCGCCTGGAACTCCGTCCAGTGGATGTCAGGGAAACGCTCGGGCCCTCCACTGCCTTGCCAGCTGTGAGCAAGAAGCTGGGTGAGCAGCTGGAACCTGAAGTTGCACTTACGGGATCCTGGCATTGATGCACCACAGCACAGGCCCCTTTTCATTGTCTAAAACTTTAGTTTCTTACTTAGAGACACATTGTATCCACTGTCTGACTCCCCAGGTGTCCAAAGCCGGGGGCTCCTCCCCTGGCTGGGCTGTCTCCCAGGATCTGCGTGGGGAGAGCTGGAGTCAGGAGCCAGGGACGAGAGCTGAGCAGGGTGCTGCGGTGTAGCTGTCTTCACTGCTGGCCACATACTTGCCTTTCTGCTGACAGCACCTTGATCTGTTTGAGAAGTGTGATAGGAAGGGGCGCTGGCTCTGTCTCTCTCTTACACATTGATTTACTTCTTTAGGAGTCGGTTACAGAGAAGTGAGGCACAGAGAGGCCTCCCATCTGATGATTCACTCCCAGATGGCTACAACAGGCAGTCCGGGGCCAGGCCGAAGCCTGGAGCTTCTGTTGGGTCTCCCATGTGAGTGCAGGGGCCCAAGGGCTTGGCCCAGGTCATTAGCGGGGAGCTGGATCAGAGGTGGAGCAGCGAAGCAGCACCCACGTGGGATGCTGGCCCTGAGGGGCTTAGCCCCGCCCCTGCCCGGCTGCCCCGCCCACCAGGTTTAGGGCTAGGAGCTGCCTCCCGGGCGCCCCAAGCCTCGCCTCAGCCTCTTGCGTCACCCTGTTCCCGGATTCCTGGCCTGTGCTCAGAGCTGCTCCTCTGGGTCAGCAGTTCAGGCATAACTGTTTCCTGAGCGTGAGGTCAGACATTCTCGTTTTATAATTCTTAGAAATCCTGTCGGTGTAGTGGCAGGCTCGCTGCCGGCCAGTCCCCAGTGACACTGCAGGTTTCGGATCCTTGCCTTGCCTTATTTCCTTGCAGATGTTTTCTGCCTCTGGGTGGCCTTGTGTGGCAGTTACTCACGGCCACGGGGCCGTGGTTGGGTTGCACTTCCCAGTCCCTCCTTCCCCAGATGGTGTGCTTTCTTGCGATTCTGTCAGTGATTCATGAGTTAATGGTTCGGTGTAGTCATAGCTTACATTTATTGTAAGTTTGCGCCTGCTGGGGTGACTCAGTTGGAGGGTCTGACGGATCCTGTGGCTGGCAGTGGGGGTGGCTTTGTGCTGCTGCGATGTCCTTTCAGGCAGAGAGCTCCACTGAAAGTGACTTCAAGTTAGCGATCTGGAAATACCGTTTGTTGAAACTGGAGCTTAAGTAGGCGTCTCCCAGGGCGTGTGGGCCGCTTCAGGGGCCCCGTGGCCAGGGGCTGTGCTGGGAGCTGCGGCAGCACGGAGGAGAAAGCTCTGCCCTCCAGGTGCTCCGACTGGGGGGGCTATGGCAGCACCCAAGGGGGCGCCTGGTCGTGCTGTTTATTGCCATGTGACAAGGGGAGCCAACGGTTGGGCAGGAGCTGGCTGCGGGCAGGAGGGAGGCTGGCTGAGAGAGGGGAGCTAGGAGTAAGTCAGGGTTCCGGCCCAGGGACCCAGGAAAGCACTGCAGCCCAGGGTGCAGTCCAGCTGTGTCCTGGTGGGCTTCCACACAGTCAGGGCAGTGGGGACCAGGAGGAGAGTGGAGGGGTGCTGAGGGCTGGGCTGTGCCCCTGAGTTAGCTGGGAAAGGGGCTATGGGCACCCTAGCACCAGGGGCGTGCAGTGGAGTTGAGTGTCAGGATGGGGGCTGCACAGAGTGGATAGCTGCCTTGCAGGGAGCGAGACCTGGAGGGGCGTGGGGCGGACGCTAGTTCCTGATTTGGAACTTGTCTGCCGTACAAGCCAACTTTCTTCCTGTGGCCTCTTTTGGTTTGTAAGCCATGGAATCCTAAGTTTTTAATTCTGCAGATCTTGTAATGATTCAGTGCTTACTTCAGAGTTCCCATCAATGCTGTGTTGATTGCTTAAAGTCTTTAAGACTCTGGTTTTATTGCATAAACAGATTTATGCAGAGAAGTGCCTTCCAAAACTGCTTCATTCTCTGAATGATCTCAGTGGCCAGAGCTGATCCGAAGCCAGGAGCCAGGAGTTTCCTCTGGGTCTCCCACGCAGGTGCAGGGTCCCAAGGCTTTGGCCCGTCCTCTGCTGTTTTCCCAGACTACAAGCAGGGAGCTGGATGGAAGTCGGGCAGCTGGGACATGAACTGACGCCCATATGGGATGCCAGCGTTTGAAGGCGGAAGGCTGACCAGTTGATTCATCCCAGTGGCCCTTCGGTTTAGGTCTTTAATTAATTAATTTATTTTAATTTTAATTTTGGGGGAGGGTTTAGGTCTTTGTAGGGGTCAGATGTCAGTGAAATGGACTATGTTCAGTTTGAACCATATGTGCTTGTTACCATTCTGTGTGTGTGTGGGAACACTGCCTGTTCTTTCTGTCGGGTTTTCTTTCATTGGAAAGGCAGCGAGGCCTCAGCAGGTCTCCTCTTTGACCTCTGGTGGGTCTGGTTTTCCTTGCTCCCCAGGGTTTAGGACAGCCATCTTGCGGCGT